GGGCCAGACCATTTGGGATAGTCGTTAGGAAGCACTTCTACACACAAAGGGTGGTAGAGCTTTAGAACTCTCTTCTACATATAGCAGTGGATGCTCAATCAGTTGTTAATTTTAAATCTAAGTTTTTTGTTTGTTAGGATATTAAGGAATGTTTGTTAGCAAGGATATTAAGGAAATTGGGCTAAAGGCAGGTGTATGGAGTTAAGCCACAGATCAGCCATGATCTTATTGACTGGTGTAATAGGTTCAAGGGGCTGAATGGCTTGCCGCTGTTCCTGTGATCCTATAAAAATCTATGACAGAATGTGCCTTTTTACAACATTCAACAGTGTTAGCTGTTGGATCATACAGCATTAACAGTGCAAAAACAGGCCATTTGGCCAAACTGATCAATGTTTGTGCTCCATGTCATCTTCCCTCCCGTCCATACTTCATCTATCCCTATTAATATATAGTTCACTTCAATAAGTCCACTTGGTAACAGGTTCTGACAACTCCCTGTGTAAAAAGGTTTCTCCCGAATTTCTTATTTGATTTATTAGTGGAATGTACCCTTAATTTTGAATTCTTCCACAAGTGGAAGCATTGCTTTCCATGTACGCCATCTCCGGTTCCTGTGTGATTTTAAAGGCCTCCATCAGGCCACCTCTCAAACTTCTCTTAGCTAGAGAAAACAGTCACAGCCTCCCAGCTTGGGAGAACAGTGGACCAAAGTCTGCCCTATCAGAAGAAGTAAAGGAAACAAACTGCATGAAAATTTTAAAGAATTTTCAAAGATTATATAAAATTTGAAAGGTAAAGGCTGGAAACAGGGGATTGGGGGCCAAAGCCCTGCCCCCATAAGCACCAGCACTACTTGTCTTCCTTTACTTGGTGTTGGCTGAACAATATCAATTTGCATATTTTGCAATAAGACACTTTACAGGAGGCATTATAAACAAGTTATGCCACTGAGGTACATAAAAGGACATTAGGGCAAATGGCCAAAATCTTCATCAAAGAAGTTGGTGTGAGGAAATATCTTTAAAAGGGATAGAGCAACGGAGAGTTTTAGGAAGAAAATTCAGGTGCTTGAAGGCTTGTCCTGACTTAGAACAAACCCAGATAACAAGGTCCACACATCTTGGGCTTTGTAAGCTGTTACTTTCTCATCGCTAATTCAGACTGGCAGCTGTAAGATAATTATTGCTGTTAAAAATTTGGAGTGGAATTTAAAATATCTCCCAATATTTCTCACTTTCTAGTTGGTACTCTGACCCTTAACCCAATGGACTCGATCGTTGGCAGTTGTACAGGAGCAAACCACAGGTCCATCTTTTTTCGATTTCCAAAATCTCATCTCACTACTCTGCCCCCCTTCCCATGCTACTGTGGCACTTAAACCCTTCCTGTTTCCACTGGGAAAGAGCAAAGAACAGAAAAGAAAGTTGTAATCTTTAATAGTCTGACAGCTATGAATGCTGAACTGAGTGTTGTTACGGAATGTGCTCTGTGCTAGAAACCAGCAGCCTTGGGATATGTTCCAGAAATACTTCAACCAGTCCTAAGTGAAAAGAGGACATGAAAGAGCCTGTTAGAAGAAAGTAGCAGCTGTGAAGCTTGTTACCACGGTGTGAATCATACATCAAAAATGAATTTAGCCTGCTATGTGGTGTGACTGAATTATTCACAAGACAACATCAAATGAGGTTAAAACTTAAATAATCATATTGATGCATTGACTGTTACCCATGGGAAATCAGTGGACGGTTGATCTGGTACAATCAGCTTTAATCTACATCTGCTGGTCTTCTCATACTAAAAGCATTTTGGTCGCCTTTTCATTGCATAGTGCGGAATTAAGGCCAAAGACATCTTCCACAATGCTTTCAAAAAGCAACTCCTCAACTCAATACACCAGCAGTTGCCAGCAAGCCTCATCCACAGCTGATGCTGTCCCAAAACATGCAGGGATAGTAAGAACTGCAGATGCTGCAGTCAGAGAAAACACAGTATGGAGCTGGAGGAACACAGCAGGCCAGGCAGCATCCAGCTCCTCTGATGATGTCTGGCCTGCTGTGTTCTTCCAGCTCCACACTGTGTTATCCAAAACATGCTGACGTGTGTTTCAGAGGGATCGAGACAAAGGACTCTGAATGCTGGGAGCTGTCAGTTTCCTGGACTTGGTGGGTGTGGCGCTGGTTGTGAGATGAGGGAATGGAAAACTGAATGTGGACCCCACCGTGGAGGGGAAGTAAGTGCTTGCCATGTGAACTCACCCAAACTGGATGTCTCTATCATTTTTTTCAGCACCCCCCCCCCTCAAATAGAGATGTCCTGTGGCCTCCTGGCTTAGCACACCACCCACCAAAAGCTGTACAGAAGGCCAATACTTTTGCCTTCACAGTAATGAGTTCCAGTCGTCACAAATAATGTACACTTTTGTGGACTTGCAATGCACGTCATTCATTTTCCCCAATAATGACCCCTTTTAGGGGACAAGTGGGCAGTAGCAACATGAGCTGCCTTGGCATAAGACACTACAGGAACAGCATGCTACTACCCAGCTGCATTCCTGCAGAGTATGGGGTAAAGGTCTAAGTAATTGCAACTTTCTTATTATCATCTCGAGTAAGTCATCTATGAACTGCAATTGAAGATAGGCGTGAAGTTGTGCGGTTCAACTGTGAGGCAGTAGTACCTCTTTCAATATACGGAGTGAGAATGAAAGCTGTTAGCAGCTCCATCCTGTTTAAATGAAACCCCACAGCTGTAGTCAAAGCCCTGCTCGCTAGATATTAAAATAGGGATTTCTATTTTTGTCTTCAGCTGTTGTATAAATCTGTCTCACTGTCCTAATTTTCTACTCGTTCGCAATAGATACAAAATCCTGATTCCCCAAAAAAGTAGTTGGCATCAATGAATGAAATCTCCTGCAAGCCATTAGAGATTTCTCATTCTCACCAGTATTCTATTTAAGTTTTGTGTTAGGTTTCAGATATAATGAGGGCCCAGTTGGCCTTATGTGTAAATAACCTGTGGCTCCAGCAGCTTTAATTGATTAAACTGTCAATCCTGTGAACTATTCTCTTACGTTTAATTCCTTCACTTCTTTAGATATTCAATGTTACTGGTTAGTACTCCATGGATATTAACCACCCATTGCACATCATTCCATTTATGATTGATTCATGACTGAACTGACACCGACTGCACCACTGTGGGAGACATCACGATAGGGACCATCAATAAATGCTGGCCTAGCCAGTGACACCCTTATTCTGTGAACAAATAAAAAAAATCCAGCCTGATGCAGTCCTCATCAGCTGCCTATATGTACCTACTGGGTGCCAGTTCTGGAGTAGAAACTGCAGCTGATAAATCCCTTTTCAATGCTAGGGGCATTAATCACAGTTGTAGTGTTACAGCCACTTTCCTTGCTGGGATCTGCTAACTGGGGATAAGTAAGTTGAGGGCTCCTGATTTGTATTATAGCACTCCAGCTCTAATTCAGCCAGTGATCTTTCTTCATGATACTAGGACTTGGGTCTATGGGTTACCTTCAGGCCCACAAAGGGCCATTTCCCTTTGGCATGCCTGCTACAGCAGGACTTCCAATGTAGTAACCTCATAAGGAGCAGAATTGCCCGCATGTCTTCTAGTTCACTTCTCTGTCACCACACATTTGCAGTAATTGGAGTGCAATGCAAGGTTAACAAATTTGGATACAAGCAAAACAGTTTTTTCTAAATGGTTATATACATGGATTGGAGAAGAGATTTGGGTGTTCATTTGCACAAATAATCAAATGTTACTGAAAAGCAGTTGCTGAGGCCAATTGAATGTTTTGCAGGGGTCAAGCCACTCATTAGTTTACCATCGGGGCTTCCATCCCTTTCAAGGATGGCCGCCCACTCTGAGGAATTTCTGGCCCATTGCCAGTCTGGTGGAACATCCTCAATTGACTGAATTGCCTTTTCTTGAGGTTATGGTCTTATTCTTCTCTTTGCCTTCCTTCATGTTATTGGAGACTCTCAATCGTTGGAATTATTCCAATGTACTGGCCACCAAAGCACTGAGATTTCCAACCCACCTGATGGAATGGGTCATTGCTAAGGAAGAAAGGTGAATGAAAATCTTACCCTGCAGTATCTCTTTGACAATGATGGGGCCTCAGCAATCTATCCCAGATCCTCTAGTCAGAGACCCTTACATTTGTGAGAGCAGATAATTGGAAGTATAAGTTATTGAAGCATGGTTTACCTTTTACTTTAAAATAAGAGGCTGTTGGCTGTTGAAATTGTACAATTATATGGGGAGGTGATGGCCTAGTGGTATTATTGCTGGACTGTTAATCCAGAGTCCTGGCTAATGTTCCGGGTTCAACTCCCACCACAGCAGATGGTGGAATTTGAATTCAATTGAAAAATAACAGGAATCAAGAGTGTAACGCTGATTACAAATCAATTGTCAGGAAAGAAATGTCCTTTAGGAAGGAAACTGCCATCCTTACCTGGTCTGATCTACATGTGACTCCAGACCCACAGCAATATGGTTGACTCTCAACCTCAATTAGGAACAGGCAATAAATGCCATCTCAGCCGGTGATGCCCTCATCCAGTGAATGAATGCAAAAAAAAATTGTTCCTATCTGGGCTCTGTGTGTGAATCCCAACTGGGATAGATCTTCCTCTTGGATCACTTGTAGTAAATTTGTTCAACTTAGTGACTTTTTATTCCCGTTCAGAAGGCAGTTAAAAGTATTTACATGGGTTTTTATTCACATAGAGAGATGACTGACTGAGAACATTATTTTTCCTTCCCAAAGGACATTAGTAAACCAGGAAGGTTTGTTTTTAATGAGAATCCAATAACGAGATTGTTGGATGCCCAATTTTCCATTCCTAATTTACTCCATTTCATCTGTATGGGGCATTCCTACTGGAATGTCTATACGTATTCATCTGATAACCTACCTGTGCTGACTTAGGAGCTTTAATATTCCAACCCTTCCTTTTCAGGCAGTGAGGTTGGGTCTGTGCCTACTGAGCAAGTTCCAGACAGTTCCATTCCATCAGGACGCAGGCCACCAGAATCACAAATGGCAGCAGGTAGCGAATATGGTGAAAATGAGAATCAGGGTGGGTACAGATGTGATATGGAGAATGACTCCAGTAGGAGCCCAGGAGGTTAGTGGAATTATTGAAAATTGATGGTGTTTTATTTCTTTTGAATTTCCTGCAATACACTGCTATTCTCTTTCTCTCATGCTTACTTTTCTCTTCTTTTGTGTCTATTATCTTCCTTTCCGTTTATTTTGCGCATTCTCTCAGCTGTTTTCTTTCGTTTTCACTCACAACATTCTGTCTCTCGCCAACCTTATTTACAGACAGCTTTGTTGTGTGTATAATTGACAGAAAATTAATTATGTGATAATCTTCTTATATCCTCATCAAATGGCATGTTGTTTCTATGGACCATGAATGACGCACAGGAGCTTTTAAGAGACAGCCTTTGTAGATTAATGCTGTTTTCAGCATTATACCAGAGAGAATGTCAACTCAACACAGTTTAAATTATTCAAAGATACTTCAGAAGTGCTAAATGTTTTTCAAGATTTTTTTTATTGAGGATTGTAGGCTACACAAGGGAACAATACCTGTGGATGATATTCCTCTGAATTACACTGGCAAATACAGTCCCACTTACAGTCCCTTAATGGGATTTGCTAGGTGATATAATTGATGGAAGTTGTTATTAGTAGAGGGTAGACCATCAGACTGTTTATATGCAAAGGTAAAGTGGTTGATTAGCTTATTTGGCTGAACAGCTGGTTTGCAATGTTGAGCAGTGTGGACCCAATCCTTGGACTGGCTGAGGACACACCTTTTCAACCTCTCCCCTTGCCAGAGGTGTGGTGAGCCTCAGATTAAACCACCACTAACCATCTCTCTCTCTCTAATGAGAACAGCCCTGTGGTCTGGTAAGACTGTGACAATTTTATCTCAACCTTATATGCAGCTGCTGCTCTTGCCCTCAAATGTTTTTATTATTACATGCTTATCACTCCTAGTTTTCTCACTCTTTTCCATCAGCCAGCTTTTCTTCATAGGGCTGACATTAAGAAAGTCAAATTATGGGCCCAGCTTTTTGTCACCTTTTTTGGCATTTATGAATCTTGCATGTGGGCGCCTTGATCAGGCCCTGAGTTAATGCAAATAAATTCATGCAGTCAAATCAGAAATGCTCTGAACATCTGTGTTTCTATTCATACTGTGTACCGAAAGCACTTTGGGAAATGCTGTGACAGAACTGTTACACACCTTCATATTAAAAAAATCTGTGAGCAACATTTGCATCTAATCTGCCTCCAAATATTAGTGACTATAGACACTTTGCTAATGAATGTGTATCACTTGATTTCCTTGCTCATTATAAAAGAAACAGGTGTACATTGAGATTTTCTCTTGTTATCGCTTGGAATACAATGTCTAAAAGGATGTCAGAAGCAAATAGTAACTTTCAGCAGGGATTTAGGGTATACACTTGAAGGAAACTATGATTCTATGAGACCAATTTGCAGAACTATCCAAATAGGTTAAGTGTAGGACCTAATTCCCACCTCAGTGATTAGAAACATAGGAGAGAACAGAACCAGAAAGGATGTGCTGTTCCTCTGACCAGCCCAAACACATTAATTATCAATCCCAGGGGTGGCTAAACTTTGCACATGGTGAGGGGCTGGGGCTAAACCAATAAATTGATATTTTAAATTAGAAGATAGTAGAAATAACCATTAAAAACTGCCAAGCAACCAAGCATAAAGAAAAGCCATTTTTTCCCTTTTTGGTCAAGAGCTAGAGAGCCAAGATTCAGCTCAATGGAAGGGTACAGTGACTGAGGCCAAGTTCTGGAGTTAGATTTAACTAACACTGACCTTAGATTGCTCCGTTGGGAGAAACTTCGTGCTGGCCTTGGCAGAATCCACATTAAAGGGAAGGTTAAAACTGAGTTGACCTTTAGCCTGAGGTTCCCTTCTCTCCCTCTCCCGTACTTTTATCCCTTGCCCTTTTCATCTTTCACTCCTCTCCCCATACCCTTCCCCTTTAGCTCTTACCCCTCTCACTCTCTCTGTCTTTCTTATTCTGTCCCTTTTAACTTCAAGCAAATGATCCATGGGGTGACCTTTCTTTCTGAAGAGACTTGAATGCAATTTGGTAAAAGGCAATTCCTTTTGTAAAAGTGAAATCAAATAAAAATTAATGGCAGCCTATCATTCCATTCTAACCCTTCGCCCTCACAGCCCAGCTTACAGTTCCCCTCTGCCATCTGATTCTCACTGCCTTCTCACAGTGATGTGAATGTCATCTCCTTCCTCCCTGGACCAGAGTCTCTCTGAAAGTTTCCTTGGTTCGGACAAGCTGAGTGAGTAGGCAAATGCATGGCAGATGCAGTATAGTGTGGATAACTGTCAGGTTATCCACTTTGGTAGCAAAAACAGAAAAGCAAATTATTATCTGAACGGTTATAAATTGAGAGAGGGGAATATGCACTGAGACCTGGATGTCATCACAGAAGTCGCTGAAAATAAGTATGCAGGTGCAGGAGGTGGTCAGAAAGGAAGATGTTGTGTTGGCCATCATAGCAAGAGAATTAAAGTCCAGGAGGAGGATTGTCTTGCTGCAACTGTACAGGGCCTTGATGAGACCACACTTGGAGTATTGTGTGCAGCTCTGGTCTCCAAATCTGAGGAAAGATGTTCTTGCTATAGCGGGAGTGCAGGAAAACTTTACCAGACTGATACCTGGGATGGCAGGACTGGCATAAGAGGAGATGTTGAATCAGTTAGGTTCATATTTTCTGGAGTTCAGAAGAATGAAAGGGGTCTCCTGGAAACCTACTAGACAGGGTAGATGCAGGAAGGATGTTCCCGATGGGGGACAGGATCAGGGTAGACAGTCCAAGGATATGGAGTAAACCATTTAGGACTGAGATGAGGAGACATTTCTGCACCCAGACAGGGGAGAGTCTGTGGAATTTGCTACCACGAAAGCTGGTAAGGCCAAAACATTTTATGATTTCAAGATGCTGTGGATATGGCCCTGGAGGTTAAAGGGGTCAAAGGATATGGAGGAATAGCAGGAGTAGGCTGTTAGGTTATATGATCAGCCATGATCAGAATGGATAGCACAGCAGGATTGAAAGGCTCCTATTGTCTATGTTTCTATTCCTAGTCTTGGCCAACAGACTTACCGCCATGGTTCCAGGCCCCAAGATGTTTGGTGCTTCTGCAATCACATGCTAGTTCTCTCCCACATTTGCTGCTGATAGGCTCGTCAGTAAGCCTGCAGCAGCACACACCGGAGAAAAAGGCCTCTGATTGGAGGAGCAGTTCTTTACCAAATCTTACACTTAGACTTACCTATATTTGATAATTCATCTGCCAGTACAACAGATGTTGGCCTGTGTAAAATACCCCAGCAGGCTGCATGTGGCCCCCAGTCACATTTGGACACCCCTTGGCTACCCAATACATTTTATTTATCCATTCACAGGATGAGGGTGTCACTGGCTAGGCAGCATTTAATGGCCATCCCTAATTGCCCAGAGGGCAGTTAAGAGTCAACCACATTGCTGTGGGTCTGAGTCAGACGTAGGCCAGACCAGGTAAGGATGGCAGTTTCCTCCCACATTAGTGAACCAGATGGGTTTTTCCTGACAATCAGCAATGGATTTAATTCCAGATATTTATTAAATTCAAATTCCACCACCAGCCGTGGTGGGATTTGAACCAGGGTCCCCAGAACATTATTTGGGTCTCTGGATTAACAGTCCAGTGGTATTACCACTAGGCCATCACCTCCCATCATTGTGGCTTCACCAGATTTACTTGAGCAGTCTATTCACCCTCTCTGCAAAATAAACTTAAGCCTAATCTTTCATCATCAAAAAATGTCTGTCTTTCCCAAATTCTAGAAGGCAACCTTAAGCCTAACAGGATTTTATTTAGTTAAGGTACCTTGAATTCTTGAACAATCTAGGCACCTTCTCTTCTTTAAATAAATAATGCCAGTCACAATCAAGAGTGAAACATCCCATAAATTTACTGAAAGAACATTTAGTTCTATTGGTAAGCCGGCCAGCATATTTTCTTAAACCAACACCTACAAAGTAGTTTAACCATTGATTCATTTTATGAGAGCTTGTGGAATATTTCTTATGCAAAATGTTTCTTCTGAAACAGGATATTGCATCTCATTGATTAGTACTGAAAAAGATTTCACACAATGTGATCTGTACTACATAAATGTAATAAATTATGTTTTAACACAGATTTTGCATACTAAAGCAAATCATAGAACATTATGTTTCATGGAGTTTACTCATATGACTGCTGAACCATGTCACTTGAATACACTAACAGACATTATATTATCTTCTGTCTAAGTTATGGCATTGTTCCTGTTAAGTTTTCTGTTTAAAGGTTTTTTCATGTTTAAATATTAAGTACATAATCTTGTTAACATCAGTTCTTACTGGCTGCTTTTTTTCCTCAGGTGGACGACGCAATGTTTCAGCTCAGGGCTCACGCCCTCCCTCAGCTTTACACCAAACCAACCCTGCACAGCCATCTCAAGCAGGTAAGTAACCTCAAAGATCAGAGTGGGCAAAACAAAAAATGGTCTGAAAATTAGTGGCTGAAGACAAGAAGCTGAAAAGCTTCAATGATAAGGAATCGTTTAATTACTGCACATTTTATGATGTCCAATGAATACAAAAGCCCACTTCAAACTAGTGAAGTCATTCCTTCAGGTGGGTAGAAATATTACCTTCCCTTTACTTGCCTTCTGTTACAGTCAAGAGTATGGTGTTTTGATGCAAAGGTACAAAGTGATCTCAGCATTGCAGCATTCAAGGTAGTTAGTATGCCTTCATCCTGTATTACACGCACTAACAGCAGGATATGGCAACATCCTTTCTGGAATGATTTGCATACAAATCAAAGTAGAACAAAGCAAAGTCTGATTGCACAGCCCTGTGTGGGAAATCTGTCATAGCAACGTCCTATGCCTTCACACCCGTCAAAACCAGAGAAAAGAGAAGATGGGGATTGACAAAGCCCAACAAATAGGAAATAGTTTGTCTGCTTTTCTTTGGCTACCTTGTGGGTCAGCAGGAGCAGATTTCCACTCTGGTGCCCACAATGCCCTTCTGACGCTTTCCAATCACTTATTTGAGTGTGCAAGCCCATTCCTTTGGTTCCATAGCAACCTGGAGCTTCCAATATTTTGGTTTCTGTTCAGAGATGCTACTACACACCACTGGAGCGGGTGGGACTTGAACCCGGCCCTCTGGTTCACTACCAGTGAAAGTCTAGGATGGTAGCCAACAACCTTGCTCAATATGGGGATTTAACCCATGAAGGAGCTTCCTATATATTTGGACAAAAGACTGATAGCAGGCGGAATGAGTTAAAATCTCTAGGGCCTCTTGTTGGAAGGAGACTGGAAGTTTGCTGCCCATGATGCCCAATGAGGATTTGTGTACCCAGTACTCCTCTGACAAATCCTGAAACAAAAACAGAAAGTGCTGGAAAAACTCAGCAAATCAGGCAGCATCTTTGCAGAGAAAAACAGAGTTAACATTTCAAATTGGTGAAGGGTCACTGAAGTCAGAACATTAATTCTGTTTTTCTTTTTACAGATGCTGCCAGACCTGCTGATTTTTCCAGCTTTTGTTTCAGATCTCCAGCATTCACATTTCTTTGTTTTATCCCTGTGAAGAGGTGATCTGATCACACTGGTTTTCTGTTAATTTTAATATGTTAAAATCTATTCATAAATCTTGCTCAACACCTGAGCAATGTGCTTTCCTCTAAAAATGCACAGGGGTCTTCACTTGTAGGGGAAGGAAAGTCATTTGTCCAAATTCACTATAGAAGATAAAATATGCACTTATGACCAAACAGTAATAATTCATATCAGGCGTTTGGTCTGTTCTTAGATACCACAAACAAGACTGCTTTCTGTGGCTCACAGATTGATATCATGAAATAATCTGTGCTTTCAAAGTGGCCTGTTGGTGTAGGCTTTCCACCCCATTGTTTGAACAAAGTGTCTAATGCTGTCGATTAGAAGTACATTAATCCAAACCTTGTGTGGTTCTCCATGAGCAGAGGTTTGCTACCAGCTCTCAGTCAGTCTCATAAGATCCCCACCATCTCCTGCTGAACCCAATAATTTATCTTGAACACATGCCCACACTCCCAGACAATGAGACCACCACAACAGCCTGGCAGCCAGGAAGATACAATTAGAAACCTTGTGGCTGGTAACACAAAAATACCACATTCAAAAATGGCAAATAGTTTTGTACAGAAAAGACATGTACTTCCAACCACAACTAAAAACTCTCCAAAGAGTTTCCTTCACCATTAAATTTCACTGGGTCTCTTTAATTAAATTTCAAACTTATCTTTTGTGCTGTTCTTGTGAGAGAGCTGCAGATTCTTCTGACATGTCAGATTGATATATTTCTGGTTTCCCTATTCACAGGTGTGCCTGGAACCTATAGACCAGGTCAGGGAGTGACTCCCAGATATCCTGAACAAATGTCAAGTAAGATTGATTACAAGCAGCTCCTATTATCAGCATCTCATTTCAGTTCTTCCTTGTTCTGGTTTCATCTAGGAACATACTGTCATCCAGCAGGTCCTCAACTTGAAGGGATGAAGAAATAATTTTGTTCTGTCTTTTTTCCATTATTTATTTTTGCCAGTGGTAGGGTCCCCATCCTTGTCACATTCTGTGAGCAACCAGCCCACCCCATCATCGGATACAAGTTATACCCCAGTGAAGGAGGAGAGAGCTGTCCACCACCGCCCACCATATACAGCACCAAGTACAGCCTCAGCACTGCCTCCTTCCACACAACAGCAGCAGCAGGAAGATGAAGAAGAAGATCTTTATGACTCAGATGAAGCCAGTGAGTGATATTTTGGTTGGCAGATTCAAGTGATTTCATTAATAAAGGCCATTAAATGGCCAGTGTAATCTATTCCAGACATTTCACTGCTGGGGTGACATTAAAAGAAAAATAATGCTGTAAAGGCACAGAAGAGCAGTTATAATCTAGAAGACAGAATAAACTCACACAAAGTCCTGTTCACGTGGCACCACATGCTTTTTGACCTGGTAGTACCTTGGTTTTAAAATTTGCATCATTATCTTCAAATCACTTCATGCTTTCCTTGTGCTTGTGATGTCCAAACAGTCATCCAAGATCTCTGCATTGTCTTTGTGAGAGAGCTACAGACCCTTCAGACTTGTCAGACATACTTACAGTTTCACTATAGTGAGGTGGTGAAATTGGTGAAATAGCAGATGGTGAAATTTGAGTTCAGTAAAAATCTGGAATAAGAAGCTGGTCTAATGGCAACCATATAGCCGTTGTTGATTGTAATAAAAAAAATCTGATTCACTAATATCCTTTATAAGAAGAAGGTCTGCCATCCTCACCTGGTCTGACCTACACATGACTCCAGGCCCACAAGCGATGCAGTTGGCTCTTAACTGCCCAATGGGCAATAAATGCTGGCTTAGTGAGCAATGCCCACATCCCATGAATGAATGTTAAAAAAACTCCTCCAATTCTGACCTCTCGCCTATTCTGCCTTACCATCTTTCTACAACTGGCAACCAAGCCTTAAACTGCCTAGGTCCTGATCTCTGGAATTCCCTCCCACACTGCTCTGCTTCACTGATTCTCTTTCCTGCTTAAAGTCACTTCTTAAAACCTGCTTCTTAGAATAAGCTTGTCATCACCTGTCTGAACATGGTATTTAATCCCATTGTATCCCATTCTCTGAAGCAAATTGGGATTTTTACCATATTAAAGATGATGTAAGTACACATGGTCGTATTTCTGGTATCAACTTGAGAATAGGAGCTCTAATTCATTGTGCTTTAATAAAGCCACTGGAATCACATGGAGAACATGAAATAAATAATATAGATATGTTATTTGTAAAATGAAAGGCACTGCTGTCACGTCAAACATTTTTGCAGCTGTACGGTTGAAATCATGATTTGTTTTCACTTTGAATACACACCCTGGACCTTTGTTTTCCAATTGGTCTCCTCTGATTGAGTCTTTTCAGAGAGACCACAATCTGGCTGATAGTGATAGAAAGAAGGCTTAGTTAAGTCTTCAGGTATTTTATGAGGACTTAATGGTTTGCTAAATGTGAACAAATTTAAACGTTACTTACTTTGCCTCTTTCAATCGTGGAATTAATAGGGTTAAAATATATGGTGTATTTTAGTTAAATTCTACGCAAACATTTAAATATCTCTGGGGAATCACATCCTCCTCACTAGAAATCCTTATACCTGGTACAGAGGTTGGCAGCGTTTGGATGAAATGTGTTTAATTCTAAAGTTGTGGCTTTGTGGACCACTGCCATTCTTGACGTTCCTCTGGCTGCTGTATTAAATGGGTGAACATTTCAACTGAAACAGCCAGTAGGAGATTGTCACATAATTGAACTGAAAACTAAAATTAACTTGCACTAATGGCAAGGGCCCTTAAGTGACTGATTGTGATTAGTTGTGAAAATTGGAGGCAGCAGACTGGAGTTGTTTGATACATGTTGGCAGAATTTGGAAAATGTCTGGCCAAGGGTTCATCTGCCAATATTAGTAGCAGTAACTCCCAACTGCAGTTTTATCAAAAGAAACTATTTGAATTAGATCATTTGAATGAATAGCTCTTAACTGGCTTGTGATTTTCAGTTGGCTCTTGCTTTAGGCCACATTCTAATGAGGAAGATAAAGAGAAAGCCAGAAATAAAACTGAACATTTGAAAAAGAAATACGATCATTGTAGTCGGTGGCAGGAAATTGAAGCCTCCTAGTCCAACACAAAAGGATGCACTGGTTCTTGGAAATGAGTTGGGCAAAGTGCAACAAGTGTCAGTGGGGGAACATTTCAGAGACAATTATCATTTTATCAGAAGGCTCAAGTTGATGGTAGAGCATGACATGAAACAATCCAGAGTGAGAAAAATCAATTGCCAGAGAGAGACCTCAATGGAGAAGAAAGGAGCTGGGCAACATTGACTGGAACAAGACTTCGGTGGGAAAAACTGAACAAGGGTCTACCTTCAAAGAAGATACTGTTTGCGTACAGTCAAGCTATATTTCCTTAAAGGTTGGAAAAACCAATCTAGACCTCCCTAGGTGACAAAAGAGATAGAAATTATAATAAAGAAGAAAAGTTGTGTATATGATAGGCATCAGGTAGAAAATAGAGAAATGAGGAATACCAAAGGTTCAGAAGGGAGATGAAAAAGCAAATAAGCAAAACAAAGATGAATTATGAGAAAAGACTGGCAGCCAGCATAAAGCGGAATTATGAAGTCAGCAATAGGTGTATAAACAGTACTAGATAAAAGGAGTAGGGCTGATTAAGGACCACAAAGAGAATTTACACCTGGAGGCAGGGGACATGGCTGAGGTATTAAATTAATAGTTTGTATCTGTCTGTACCATAGGGAGGGTGCTACCTACATCACAGTGACACGGGAGGGATCTCTCTTACTAGAAGGGTTCAAAATTGATGAGGAAGAAGTGTTGAATTGACTTTTGGTGATTAAGCTTGACAAGGCACTGAAACCGGATGAGGTGCACCCAAGATTTTGAAGGAAGTGTGAGCGGAAATTTCAGGAGCACTGACCACTAGCTTTTAGTCTACCATCGACTTGGTGGGGGGAGGGGTGGCGTGGGGAAGTGCTGGAAGACTGGAAAATTGCAACCATTACAACTTTGTTCAAGAAAGGTTGGAAGGATAAGCCCAGCAATTACAGACCAGTCAAATTTAACATCAGTGGTGGGGGAATTTCTTGAAACAGTTGTTTGGGATAGAATTAATAGTCACATGGAAAAAGCTGGGTTGATGAGGAAAAGTCAGTGGGGATTTATAAAGAGGAAATTATGTTTAACTAACTTGCTGAAGTTTCTTGAAGTAGTAACAGAAAAGCTCGCTGAGGGTAATGCTGTTGCTGTTTTACATGGACTTCCAGAAACCAATTGATGCAGTGCCACATGACAGACTTATAAGGAAAGTTCTTGATCATGGAATAAAGGGGTCTGTAGGAATGTGGATACAACATTAGCTTAGTGATAGAAAACAGAGCGACAGTCAATAGATATTTTTTGGGCTGGTTGAAGGTTTGCAGTGAAGTGCCCCAGGTGTTGGTATTGGGACACTTGCTTTCTCTGATACATAATGACCTCGATCTTGGTGTGCAGGGGGAAATGGCAAAGATTGCAGATGACATGAAACTTGGGAGAATTGTAAACTGACCATAAGACCATAAGAGGTAGCATCAGGAGCTGGTTGTTTGGACCCTCAGGCCTGCTTCGCCATGAAGTAGGATCATGGCTGGTCCAACATTCCTCACAGCCACTTTTCTGCCCTTTCCCCAATAAGACTGGGAGGAGAACAGCATAGAATTTTAAATGGGCATTGTTTGAGTAGGCTATAGGTGCCAGATGAGTTTCAATGTAGAAGAATATGGGGTGTTTTTTTGTGGTAGGAACAACATTGAAAGACAATATAAAACAAATGGTACAATTCTAAAGGGGGTGCAGGAACAGAGGGATCTGGGTATATGTGTGCACAAATCATTGAGGGTGTTGGACAGATGGACAGTGCAGTAAGTTATGCATACAGGTCCTTGGCTTTATTAATAAGGGTAAAGAATACAAGAGCAAGGAGGTGATGTTGAACTTGTATAACACACTTGTTAAACTTCAGTTGGAGCATTTGTGTACAGTTGTGCATGCCACATAACAGGTAGGATATGACCACATTGGATAGAGTGCTGAAGTGATTTACAAGAATGGTTACAGGGATGAGGAACTTCGGTTACTAAGACAGATTGAAAACATTGTGACTATTCTCCTCGGAGAGAAGAAGTCTAAGAGGAGATTGTGATTTCAAAATCACGAGCAGTCTTGATAGAATAAATAGGGAGAAGCTGTTCCCACATGTAAAAAGAACAAGAATGACAGGACATAGATTTAAAGTTGAGACAAAAATAGAAATTGGTGGAAAACCTCAGCAGGTCTGGCAGCATCTGTGAAGAGAAGACAGAGTTAACGTTTCGGGTTGAGTGACCCTTCCTCAGAACTCAGTTCTAATGATTTCACTTAGTGAGCAATTAGGGTATGGAATACATTGCCAGGAAGTGTAATGGAGAAGGGTTCAATTAAGGCATCCAAGAGAGCATTGGACAATTTTTTAGATAAAAGTGATGTACAAGGAGATGGCACAAGATTTCAAGATACAATGTGTACAGATACAATGGGCCAAAATGCACTGTAAGACTTCGGTAATTGGTCTGAATCACATCCTAGAAAGAGAAATCCAGTGCAAACCAGGAACTAACTAGGATGCCAGGAGTGTTCCGTAATCAAGAATTGAAAAGTGAGCAAAATTAAGCTGAACCTGTATCGGCGTTAATAAGATAAATTTAATGGAAATCAAAACAAGCATTTGAAGGAGACGGGTAATCATGATAGATTTTGATTAGAACATAGAACAGTACAGCACAGTACAGGCCCTTCGGCCCACGATGTTGTCCCGACCTATTATCCTACTACGATCAATCTACCCTGCATACCCCACATTTTACTATCCTCCATGTGCCTACCCAAAAGTCGCTTAAAAGTCTCTAAAGTATCTGACTGCACTACCACTGCTGGCAGCGCATTCCACACGCCCACCACTCTCTGTGTGAAGAACCTACCTCTGACATCTCCCCTGTACCTTCTTCCAATCACCTTAAAATTATGCCCCCTCGTAATGGTTATTTCCGCCCTGGGAAAAAGTCTCTGACTATCCACTCCACCTATGCCTCTCATCATCTTGCAAACCTCTATCAAGTCACCTTTCATCCTTCTTCGCTCCAATGAAAAAAG